GGTAAAGAAGGGAGAGCACTATGAAACCAGCTAACAAAATATATTGCTGCGTGAACTTCAACGCTTGCAGCAAATTCGTCCAAGTGTGGGCGTGATAACCACCGGCGGCTGTGATTGGTGATCAAGACCAACGAACCAATCATGATCCTTGAACACACTTGTGGCGTGCTTGGGTGCAATTTCCGTCATAACCATCTATGCTAACTATACATGTACTGCAACCCTCACTACATGGAACAAAATACAGATCCACCATTAATTCGCACAGCAATCTAGTCTCTACTCTGGGGCTTTTTGACAGTCTTCTCGGAATCCCACATGTTTGCCTTCTAGCATAATCTAGTTTTCAGCAACACACGTCACCTTATATACACCTGTCACCCAGAGCTTCTATTAATGGACAATTGGCTTACATTCATGGTGAATACAAACGTATTTACTCGCTCTAATCGTTTTCTTGGCTATTCAGGAGTAATGAGAAACGAGTGATGTAAGAAAATTCAGAGAAAGACTGTTCGATTCAGAAAGTTCATCCGTATGACGTCTACATAGCTATTTCTAGAGGTTTATAAAAAAGGCTTGCCGGCAAACATTTCTTGACATTACTAGATTTCCGATGATGTCATGCTTAAATAAATTGGTCCCCCAAAGTACAATCTCGGAAACAAACGCTCATTTGATGGGCATTTCAATTGATGCCAATGCCATACAATTGACTCTTGATATCATTACGGCGATCGCACTGGCTGTGTCCAATTTAATTTACCGACAACTCTCAAGGCCCCCGAGACCATCGTTATGCTCCCGTCGGCTTCCCCCTCCCTCCATGGCCGCCGTTCGTCATCTCTTGGAATTTAATTGAATTCCACCCGAAAAACCACCAGCAGAAACGAAAATGCACAGGATATGCAGTTCAATCGGATGCTCGGTCATGACAAAAGGCGACTTTTCGAGGCCTCAGATAATCTTATTTGAAGCCCAAAGTCAAATGATGTCATTCTTTAAGCGACCGATAACCACCATACAAATCATGACTTTCATAAGCAAATTTTTATACTGGTAACCATGTCAAAGCATCTAGTTAGAATTTTCACACGTCACGCAGACACATTCGAGAGGGACTGAGGTTTGACATGTTTTTCCGGTAATTTTTCCCCTATCAATTTTGATTTGCTAATTCTCGATTCCTTTTTCAGTCTTGATGAACCAGGCCCAGACAAAGGACAGTCAGAATTTTAGAAAATTTTATTTATTTTATTTTTCTTATCCGTTAACCTTGAGCTTTTTCAATCCCTATCTAGTTAAATCAAGGTATTTCCATTCCTTTTATTTTTTCTTTTTCCACCGTAATTTCCTATTACTATAAATCACAAAATTAACAGAAAGTGTTGACGGAAGCAGAAAGAAGGTCATGATTTTTCAATCTAGGATAATCTCAATTGGGACAAATACAAAATGTATACTGAACAGTAACCGATCAATATCCGCCGTATATTTTTTTCACGCTACCTCTAGGGAACCTACCCGCCAGCAGTCTTTTTTACAGGATAGAAAAAATCCAACTTATATGAAAAAAAAATTCTTTACCAAAAAAGCTTCTACCCTCTACTACTTCAATCCAAGGTTCCCTAACTACGAACCAACTTCTCAATCCAATCGTGGACCCGCTATTTTCGTATTTCTTCGAGTAAATACCTGAAAGGGCTCTAGAGCTACTATTTCCGTTAGGAATTCCCATTATGTACATACTCAGAGGTAATCTGGCTATCCATTGACCTCTGAGTACTCCTGAACTTGAGCTTTTAAAGCCTCCCCAAGTCACAGCACCCAAACACCACCATAAACGCCTGGGCCATGCTATGAGTCATTTTTTACCAAACTGACCGAGTAATCTTGATGAGCTTAGAGCCTTGGTGATGTAGCGTTTCAAGAAGAACAAAGTACTCTGCCATTTTGGTAGACGTTCCTTCACTGTCTTATATGTATGTACATGGAGATCGATTGAGGGAATTTATTCAGTCAATTGACAATTACAATATTTTACTTGTTTCTTGGCTCACATCATCCAACCCGTTTTTCAATATTTTCGTCTTTTCAGCTGAACTCACTTATGAGATCTTGAATGGCTATTCACCGCTACACGCGATGTCATGCATTGAATAATCATATTTTCGTGGAAGGGTTAGCTTCTGAAAACCTGCATAGCCATGACGTCAACGGAGGGTGTAAAACTGATTTTTTCGCGTCATTTTAGTTACTCTGCTTATTCCCAGAAAGGAGTATGAATCCCAAAGTGCCTATGCCTATGGCTACGTGAGTGGTGTTCGTGGGGGATGGATTGGCAGGAGATGATGTTTCGAAGATGGATGGGGCCATATAAAAGGAAAGAATGAAGATGTATTGAATTGTTTATTTACATAAAATTCTACGGCGTTTTAAGTTTTTAAAATCCTTTAATGGTAAATAAACGATGGACATTCAGAATGTCGGCAGGGATTTCCCGGCTGTCTGAGTATTTTTAAAAGTTAGCCGACCAATCCTTCAGAAACCGCTACCTATTTTTCAAAAAGGATCGAACGAAGGAAAATTTTCCGATCCATTTATCAGTCCTAATAAAAAACTCCTTTGAGAATATCCTGGTTATATTTCGAACCTAACTAGAGCTGCGAGCTGCCAAATATGAATGGTAGATAATATAAGCGGATAAGGGTGTTTTAAATGAGATAAATTGATCATCTAACGATACAACTCAGCATCTACTCAACGGTGTCTACCAGTAGCCGACCTGTACAGGTTCCTTCGGCATCTGCTCTGTTTCAGGACAGCTCGAAATTCTTTGAGGGACCGCTGGAGTGCGCATATCCCACTCTCAACCAAG